TTTTTATTTTTGGAGTAGAATCTAATTCAAATATTTGAATAATTTATTTTTCAAAAACATGCTTGAATTCTATTTCTTGAATGTAACACCTTAAATATCTTTTAATATTTTTTTTTGAATTGATCAATTTTATCAATAACTGCTTATAAAGCCTTGTTTGCCATATCCTCTTTACAATCTTTAATATGTTTTTATTACATAAATAAAGAAAAAGCCTCAAATATGCTTGCAAAATCATAATCAAAATACATACTTAGTTTTCCACTTGTAGTTGTACTTCCAACTCTACTTGAAGCACCAATTAAAATATTATCATTGATTTATATATTAACCTAAATAAGAAGTGTTAGTTAGAAGATAATTATAGGTAGATTTAATATTATCATGTGGCAAAGCTTTTTAGAAGCTTTATAAACATCTATTTAATTTTATACATATTTATAGTTGATTGGTAGGTTAAAAACTTGGCCAACAAATTAGCCATGTATTGCACATGTGAATAGCTTGTGATAGAAGCTAATAATGTGGTTCATATATAAGAAACTTGTCTTGCAAGTTAAGACACATGTCTTGCAAATTGGATACATATTAGAGGTTATATAGGACATCATTACATAGCTTCTAGTTGGATAATATATATAGAGGCAAGAGTGAAGTCTTTTATACTCTTGTCAATGCTTTTTTGGTTCTTAATTTTATTTTAAGACTTTTTAGTCTTTTTTCTTTAATAATAGCCATTCTAATTTAATATAATATTATTTTTAAGTAATTCTTTAGTCTTTTCAAATGTCATGAGAATGTATTGATATTTTAGTTTTTTGAGATTCATATCTTTGACAGTTATGTAAGAATTTTTATTCATTGTCCATTTTTTGAATTAGAAATAAGTGAATTGCTCTACTCTTGTTGTTGTATTTTGAAGATTGTAGACTATCCACCTTTAAAACTCATTTTTAGTTTTTTAACATTGATTTTTTTCTTTAAAGAGAGTAGACCATCTTTCATTATAGAAACTTTTATTTGATATAAGAAGTTTTAGATTACTTTCATCTAATTTGACTTTTAGATTTTTTTTTGAATTGTATAGAGAAGAAAAAATCATAGATACTATTTTTAATAAAAGTGAGAATAAATTTATAACTATTACAAATCTTTATGAGTTTGTCAATACTTTAAAGTTAAAAATCTTATATGTCTCTAAAATCAACCATAGAAGTAGTATTTTGATATGTATAAAAGAAGACAACAATAAAGTTTAAAATCTATTTCGAAAAGTTGGACAATTGATTAAAGCAAATAAATAAAGCTTATAACAAAATCTAAAAAATCTTGTTATTTCAAGTATGAAAGATGCAAGGATAAGTAAGCTTGAGACATTTGATAGAATAAGATCAAAATTTTGAAGATCTTTACGATAAATAAAGGTCTATCTAAGGTTGCATCCTTCTCATTATCATGATGGATTTACTCAAGTTGCATTCATAGGTGCACTTTTTTCTAGGAATAATTTCTCTTAGTTTGCACCTTTGATAGAAAAAAATTTATATCTTTTTTATAAATTAAATTTATTTTTAAAAGTATTTATATATATTTTTAGAAAAAATAATTAAAAATATTAATAGAGACTAAATTTGTATCTCTATAATAAAGTTGATATTCAGCTATTATATATAATGTTGAATTCCAAAATATTGCTTGTAATGTAGATTGGAATGAAAAAATCTTTATCAATCAATTTTGATATGGATTAAAAGATAACTTCAAAGATTTACTATTGGCAATGCTAAAAGCAAGATTATTAAAGAAATTTATTATTTAAGTCATTGCATGTAGTAATTGATTCTTTGAAAGACACCCAAAACAAAGATTTGGTTGGAGATGTACAAATTAAGCCATAGCAAGAGCCTCTAAGTTTACAAAAGTTTATTCATTAAGACTAAAACCTATGCAAATTGATACAACATGTTTTAAACATCTTATTGAGTAAGAAAAACTCAACACTATTAGGAAGGTTTATGCTCATATTATAAAGAATCTTAGCATACTTCTCAATATTATTCAAAGAAGCAATACAATTACAAAATGAAAAGCATGGTTGCTAAAAAGAAAAATGTATCAAAAAACAAGTTTTTCCGACTATAATAAAAATTGAATCATTAAAATCTTACATAATATTTAGTAAAGGTCGTATTTCTTCTTTAGATTCTTCACCTTATTTTATAATAGAAGTTTATTTAGAACCTAAAAATCACAAAATCTTTACTTTCTTAGATTCAAAAGCCTCAACTTGTTTTATAAATAAAGCCTTTGTTAACAAACAAGAAATATCTTTAATTAAAAAAAATAAACTTATGAATGTAGAAGTCATAGATGGTCGTTTGTTGTCTATTAAAGACATTATTTATAAAAAAAAAATAGTTATAGCAATTAAATATCATAATAGCTTGGTAATAGTTAATGTCATTAGATCTCCATTTGATCCAATTATTTTAGGATTATTGTGGCTAGACAAATATAATCCTTAAATAGACTAAACTTTTTGCAACTTTTATTTTTTTTATAGTTTAATAAAAGATCTTACTAGTTGAGTAAAAATCTATAAGTCAAATACAACCAAATCCTTGTTGGTAGGTGCAAGAGCTTTTATGCATATATAAAAAGAAGGATCAACTTTTGTTATATAGGCCAGACTTATTTTTAATGAAAAAAAAACTTCACATAAAATTTCAAGTTAACATTAAGATTATTAAGATGTTTTCAAAAAAAGAAACGTAGATAATCTTTGAAAATATAGTTTCTATGATTGTTCTATTGATCTTTAAGATAGAGCTCAATTACTATTTGGATCAATTTATAATTAATTGGAAAATGAGTTTGATGCATTCAAGGAATAAGTTAATAAGAACTTAGCTAAAAACTTCATATACCATTTTAAATCTCTAGCAAGACATTTTATCTTATTTATAAAGAAAAAAAAATGGATCTTTGTAAATGTGTATAGACTATCTAAGATTCAATAGGATTACCATTAAAAATAAGTATTATCTATTTTAGATTTCAAGACTTTTTTATCAATTCTATTAAGCAAAGATCTATACAAAAAAAGATCTACAAAGAATATATATATATATATCAAAGAAAGAGATGAATAGAAGATAATATTTTCAACCAAGTATGAATATTTTGAATATAATATTATGCATTTTACATTCACAAATCTATCAACTACTTTTCAACATCTAATGAATGATATCTTTTGTGAGTTTCTTGATTATTTTGCCATCTATTATCTAGATAACATTCTAATCTATACTAAGTAGACAAAAGAATATAAACTTTGTATCCTTTTTAAGATTCTAAAGGTAGATGTAAAGCTAACTTTGGCTTTTTATCTTCAAATCAATGGAAAAATGAAGTACATAAACGAAGTTTTAGAATAATATTTGAGATATTCTATCAACTACTAAAAAGATGGTTAGACAACTGTTTTACTATTAGCAAAGTTTTTTTATAATAATACAATTTATTCTTCTACATAACAATCATCTTTTTTACTAATTATGGTTATCATTCATGACTTGATGTTTTTGACTTCTCAAAAGTTGATAATCTTGTAATGAAAGATTTGGCAAATAACCTTAATCTAATATAAGAATAAAGTTTAAACTACTTTTAAAAAAAAAGTAAATTGAAAGATACCATTATAATTTATGTAAATTTTAAAAGAATTCAATAATTGAGGTTTAAATATATATATATATATAAATATATATATATATATAAATATATATATATATTAATAATTATATCAATTAAATTATAAAATAAACTCTTAAAAATAAAAAAATATAATAAATAATTATGATTTTATTATTTTTTAAATTATATTTTTATAGATAAAATAATAAAATAAATATATATTTATATATATATTTTTTTTAATTTATATAAAAGACCTTTAAGAATCCAAAAAAATTCTAATTTAGATACAAACTTAAATACAATAATGTAACACAAATTAAGATGCAAAGGACTTTAATAAGATGAATACAATTTTTAAGTGACAAATTGATTTGCAACTATAAATGAAATAAGATTGGTAAACACCAAGTTAATTCAAAGATTAAATTAAGTCATTGACAAGAAAAAATACAAAGTAACAAGTAGTGAATTTTTATTTATAAGTTTGAATCTGATATTTCTTAATATAAAAATAAAAAATAAACATAAATTTGCAATTAATGCAATTTTAAGTTTCAAAGAATTTTTCAAAAGAATACTCTTATTGATTAGTTAATTTAGGAGAATGTTAAACAGATCCAATTTTTTTCTAAATTGACCCACCCTTCCTAACCATCATAAAAAGAAGATAATGATTTCTAGATTCATTTTCCTATTACTGGATCTACAACCAATAAAAACCAACCACATTTATCATGATTATCATATTCTTCATCAAAGGTGGATCTATTTAATAAAAACATGGATCTATTTAACATTCCCCTAAATTAATATTAAATAGTGTGTTGCATTTGTGCCAAAGTAAATAAATTAATAAGAATTATTTACACAAAACACATCCTCTAGAGTCACGTATTGTAAAATTCAAGTAAAGTTAACTTTCAAACCATCATCGTCACAACTCTAGTTTATTTGCAAGTAACAGGCACTGCTTTTGCGACTTTGGAATAACACTGACACAAACTTACTCCTCCCCCAGCCAAGACGCCTGTAGACTACTTAAACGACCGGGTCCGTTACATTCTCGCCGTGTTATTTTTCTCTCCACATCAAGTGTGGAGGGACCCCGTCAAGAGCCACGTCGGATAAGACCACGTCAGAGTCGGCAGCCACTATGGTTGCCAGCTGGACCGGGAACGTAGCGGTGGTGGTGCGTTGGGCGGGCTGCTGCTGCGGAGACGAGAAGGGACGAGGGAGATGGCGTCGCCAGATTTATTGATTGAGAGTGTCATGTCGTGCGCAACACTTTGTCTGCGGTGAGATCCCCCCTTCGATCGATCCATCGCCCCCACCTCCTCCCCCGTCTCTGCTATTTCAACGCCACTGCTGCTTCTGCCAAGAACAGAACAGAACAGAATCGAACGAAACAGATCACGACTGGCTCCTTCCTCCGTCGCTCTCACCTGGCCCCCCCACTCTGTCCTTGATTTCCTATTACACGCGCTCTTGATCGATCCATCGTAGACTGCGTGTTCTGCCCAAATCTCTTAGACCGACGCGGATTGAGCCGCATCGGTATTACTAAGATTGGTGACGTGAGGAAGTCTTGTATTCTGACTGGAAGTGGGTGAATTCGTGAGTGTTCCTGTTGGATTAGCTTCACAAATTCTGGATCTCGTATTGTCCTTTTTGTTGTTTCAGGAATCAAGGACGGAGATCGGAAGAGAATTGTTGGGTTCTTCTTTGTTGCGTGCCAAGTTTCCGAGGGAGGTGTCTTGTTGGGTTAGTGAGGGAGCGTGAGCTAGTGGGTTGGATCCTGTGCGAAGAATTAGTTTAGAACCGGAAGGTTGTTCTTGGGATGTGGGTGTAGTGACGATAAGAGGTTGATCTTTCGCGGGTTGATTGCGATGAAGGTGTGATTTAGGGAGCCGGAGCTAGTGGGTTTGTGGACTTTGGTTCGTGAAAGCGTTTTAGGAGGGGTTTGGAGGGCATCCGGCACAGGTGTACGGGATTTTCGAATTACGAAGGAAGAAGAAGCTTGTAAGTCATCTTGGGCTTGGGTAGTGCTAGCAGCTTGAGATGGGATCGATGAGCATTTCCCCGCTTTCGAAGTACAAGTTGGTCTTTCTTGGTGATCAGAGCGTCGGCAAGACTAGCATCATTACTCGATTCATGTATGACAAGTTTGACCAGACGTACCAGGTAATGAATCACAACAAATTCTCTCTCTCTCTCTCGCTCGCTCGCTCGGTTGCTCGCTCTCCTGTCTTTCGTTGTTCCTTGTGGGTGGATTGAAAAGTTCCATACAACCACATTTCCAATCTGGGTATGCTTGTTAAATTAGAAATGAAACTTCGTATTGTCGACCAATTCTAAATTTCGGCATCAAGCCTTCTGATCAACTTAGAAGAAAGGACGGTAGCTTGGATTTTGAGCTCAATTTCTTCATTCTATTTTTTTCTTTTTGAGTCTTTTTTTATTTCATAGTTTTTTGTTTTTGCCATCAGCGCGATTCATAGTCCACAACTCCCGCGTCAGTCATGCTAATTGTGTCACACGCATAGCCTCCTTTGGTCTGCATGAGGTGATTACATAAATGGTTTGGTTCAATTAAAGTCCTCATAAGGTTGTTATATGAGAGTTGGAGCCCATCATGTTTGGAACAGATCTTGATATAGAATATTTGATGAGAAATTATTCGTATTCCACCTAACCACTCGTCATTTGAAGTTTTACTTGATGCAAAGCATATATCATGATGATATAGAAGGTCTGTTTCATGATAAAGCATCGCTGAAGAGCTCGTCAAAACTGCACTCTATTGATAAGCATGAACTGTAATGGTAGATAGTAGAATGACCTGCGGGCATTTGAATGATTTTCCTAGTAGCTCTTGCGTTGCGGTTACGAGTTGTCCAACGATGGGTGTCTGCTAGCAACACTGTTAACTATCTTACAAGGCGATTGCGAGTTTCCTTCGAACACTTTGTAATGGTGATTTTCGTTGATCGACGTGTGCGTGTAGAAGATATCTCTGTCTTCGAAATTATACACTGAGTTTCACATAGGTGTGTGTACAGCTCAAATGAATGTCTCTTACACTATTGATGTCTGTTTTTCAGCCAACTATTGGAATTGACTTCCTTTCCAAAACGATGTATTTGGAGGACCGCACAGTTAGGCTACAGCTTTGGTAAGTTATTTCTCTCAAGTGAAATCTAAAAGTATTTCTTTCTTTCCATCATATGCAATAATGCAGTGTATTATGCTATGGTCCGTCGACGATTCTGGTCTCTGCATAGTCATGCTATATTCACTCAAATTGATGATCTCTGCTTTCACTAACTAAAGTGCATCATGTTGAATATCCAGGGATACAGCAGGACAGGAGCGATTCCGAAGCCTCATTCCCAGTTATATCCGCGACTCATCCGTGGCAGTTATTGTATATGATGTTTCCAGTAAGTTCTTTCATGATGCACTTTTGCAAGTTCTCCCCTGTTTTTTGCAAGTTTATCAAACTTTTAGAAAGATGGTAAATCGTATCAACCTATACCTGAAATACTTGCGCAGATAGGCAGTCTTTTGTTAACACCGCTCGCTGGGTAGAGGAGGTTCGTGCCGAGCGAGGAAAGGATGTGGTTTTAGTGCTTGTTGGCAACAAGACCGATCTCGTGGATAAGAGGTAACCACTCCAAAGTGCACTCGCCTACCTGTCAGCTTTTCTTATAATGCATGGTATTTTTAAAGTAGAATTCTGAGACTTCTCTAATCTTGAAATTAATCTGACTGGTGATTGTACAGGCAAGTCTCAGTTGAAGAAGGTGAAACCAAAGCCCGGGAGCTTAGCGCACTCATGATTGAGACCAGTGCTAAAGCGGGATTTAATATCAAGGCCAGTGCATTTTCCTTCCTTCTAAGGTCTCCAAATGTAGAGTGAACCACTTAGAACTGTCTATCAAGAATTTTCCTACATAATGTACACATTCTTTCGGAGGTGAAACATGAAGCACGCGCATGTCAGTAGATATGAGCTGTGATTACGTCCAACTGCCATGAACTTTTGGCAATTTACACAATGTTTCAATGAAAGAGTTCCAGCAGTTCTCCAGATGGTAGTCAGAAAGTCGCGGACAGTATGTTTTGCTGGGCGTCTGTTGTCGCAAAACATTTTGTTTCCTATGAATATGGATCTTCAACTCTCTGAACTGGCGTACACTCATTTGCAAGACTTCGATGTGTACATAGAGGTGATAACTCTTCCAACGAATTCATGTGAACAGAGCCTTTTCCGGAAAATCGCTGGAGCGTTACCTGGAATGGAGTCTGTGAATCCGTCAAAGCAGGATGATTACGTGGATATCAACTTGAAAACAACGTCGAATAACACACAATCAGAAGGTCAAACTGCTGGTGGTTGTGCGTGTTGACAACCTGTGGGTGAGGACGGAATTGCTCTGAACGTGGTGCAACTCACGAGAGGAACTCTAGGTAGGGCCTGCAGCAATGCCTTCTGCGTCCGCCTAACCTTTCCTGCCATTCTGGACTTGCCAATAGGATCTCAAGAGCTTGAAACCTGGATGCTTTCATTTTTGAAGTCTTCGCTGTGAGAGGTTGTGAATAGGATAAACGCTGTACAAAAAGGTTTTGCTGACATATGGTCTTGCCACTTATCAGGATTTTTCGATAAACTAGCATTTTGGAACAGACATTCACATGACCAACTTTCCTTGCCTATAGCTATATGCATAGGTGAGGTGGCAATTCATTCCATGCACATTCACATAGGCTACAAATAATTTGCCAGTTTCCCATCATGCCACCAATTCATGATAGATCTAGGATTAGCTATATTTTTCAAAACTACACATTTAGAATTTAGTGTAAATTTGTTTGGATTCGCCTTTGCAAGTCCTCGAAATTAATACCTTCTTTCAAACTTGCAAATTGAATGCGAATTTCTTTTGAAAAAAACTGTTATAAATGTAGTGAAATCATGATATGGGGCTTTTATCACAAACAAAACTAAATCAACGGCTAATCTGAAGATCAAGAGTCAAAATAAAATTCTTTCTGAGAACTTCAAGCTTGATTTATTATGTGTCTAATTAGATTGACTTGATGTATATTTTGACTTAGATTTTGATGTTAAAATGTTACCCCGTGGTAAATATTAATGATAGCTTTTATATCAATGATATAAAGATAATATTGACCAATTATTATCAAATCTATTCTAATTCATCAGAATGTTAGTGGAAGTACAAAATCTATTATCCTACTAAATAAAAGTATACAAATAAATTACTATCAATATGATAGACATTTTAAATGATTATATTAGATAATTAAATTAACCAAATTTCACGGATATTCCACAAAAATAATTGTTTACGTTTGAACCAAATAAAAAACAAATATGGTATTTTATTCAGGATTTTAATTGGATGAAATCAAATAATTTAAAAGAAAATAAAATTCTAAATACACAAGTTTGTGCTGGTCAATTTAGTTTTACTTAAAAAAGAAAAAAAAGAAGCAAGGAAGGAAACATAAGAGTTTTAATATAAAAAAGTTAATACCAAATAGAAATGTGTCATGACCATATTATGTATGATAAGGAAGTTTAGGTATAAGACAAAGAGACAAAGAAGCCTTCTCATTGGCCAAAATCAAAGAAATTGTTAACAAAAAGCTCTGCATAACTTGCAAAAACACCATCTCATTATCAGTAAATAGCTTTTCTGTGCACAACAAAAATTCCAACTGATTCAAAACAAATAAATACATCAAATGACAGAAAATTCTCAACCTTTGTTTAGGAATGGCACATACTTTGGCAGTTCTATTTATTTTAACTTAACAGCAGATAGAGTTTTCTCTTCATTCCTGTATCATAAAAGTTAATACCCAAGTATAACAAGAAATTATGGTATGGTATTAACTTTTAAGTTATCACCCAAGTATAACAAGAAATTCTTTTATTTTTTTGAAAAATTGAAGTGTGAGAATTGAAATCCATAGACATGAAAAGACAACTTCTCTTTTATGTGCATTCTCAGCACATCAACCACTATTCAGCTCCTTCGGCGTTTCGGGGATAAAGGAGAATTGGACAAGCAAAAGACAGTCTTAATTGCTTACACATACTAAAAAGAATGTCCATAAACGTTGCTATCAAGCATATCCAGCACAGTCGATATTGAAAGAGGGCCCAATTGGCTTCAGCTAACAACTGCATTGGCAGTTTGCAAGGCAGAAGAATCAGACAACGCATCGATTATTATAGGCTGAGCAACTCCATTCTCACGAACCTGATCTAAAGCGCCAGTCTGCCTCAATATCTCCGACGCTTCGTGTTCAGCGAGGAGCCTGTGAACTAGTCCCTTCAGCCACTCTGTAGTAATACTAAATTGCTTGTTCAGCTCCTCGCGCAGGTGTGGATATTGTCTAAACCATGGGCCTAACATTCGGTGCACATGAGCACGGATCATCCGAGCTGGAACTGGGTACTTGTCACAAAAGTCTAAATATTCCAGGACTAGTGTTGGTTCATTGAGCGAGTACTTTTTATCATGATCGTCTGGTTCCGCAGCGGAAGAGTCGAGAGGTTTCATCCTGTAACCGGCAAAAAGAGCAGGGTTCTCGAGTAGAGATTCTGCTGACATTACACCGTCCACGCCCGTCGCCCTTATGCATTCGTCTACGTCCTCAAGCCACCGGATATTCCCATTTGCTACAACTGGAATGCGAAGAGCTGATTTGACAGCCTTGATAACTCCCCAGTCAGCTCTAATACTTTTACCGTCTTTTTGATCGCGCGTGCGCCCATGAACGGCCAGTAAGGAGCAACCTGCCTCCTCTATCATGCGAGCGTAAGCAAGCGTGTCTTCCAACTTTGGGAACATTCGAATTTTGCAGGAAACAGGAGTTGTCAAGCCGGATGAGAGTTTCTCAACCAGAGATCGGACTAAAGGTAGGTCATCCATGAGGAACGCTCCGTAATTGCCTCTCTTGGCTATGCGTTGAGGGCACCTATTTTACAAACAATGGTCATAAGTGACCGTAACTTGAGTAAGTAATTTAAAGCACCTTGCTTTGAACTAACTCTATACCATATACACAAGTACAAGGGTATCAGAGCTCCGATTTCCACTGGCCACCCCTTTACCACATAGGCTTCAAAGAATCGACAGAATATGAAGATGCTGAAAGAACTTTCCAGACAAGCATTTGAATAGAAAGAGAATGTAAGGAATTGGACAATGACGGTCAGCACCAAGATGAAGTGAAGTGCTAAATCAAAGGTGAAGCAAGGCTGGAAAGGAAGTTGGTCCATACCCAAAATTGATGTCAACATAATCGCAATCATCTTGCACCAACTTGGCTGCTTCTAACAACGTGTCCGGATTGTTGGCACAAAATTGAATAAAAAGGGGGCGATCCTCCTGGCATGTCGTCAACCAAAACGTAAGTCCTTAAAAGTCTTTGTGGGATCCACTAATTGCACAGTGTTTACCCAGAAATAAAGAATGCTCGTTTTGATTTCAATGCAAGAGAAGGAGACAATCAGCATAATGTGGTTTCGATCAAAAAAATCACCCTTCAAGAATGAAATAACATGTTCCTTCTAATTGGTCCAATTGCACTGACAACTAAAGAAGATTAAATCCTACTTCGTTGATGAAGCTTCTTATGGTTTTAATTTTACTTATTTTACTATACTGTTGCAAGTTATGTAAGAAACACGGTCGAGGACAAAATGATTTCACTTACAGGGCATGTAGAGAACTCTTTAAGCCGGTATTTAGCATCTTGGGCGAATAATCGAGAATGTAACATGGGCGAATAGGCAGCCGTGGCTCCATACTTCCTACACAACATTCTGAACGGAAGCTCACTCTGATCCACCATAGGAGCCACCATCAACTTGGGCGCGCCAAGCTTGTTCCAATGATCCCACGCCCTTGCAGCATGAGGCAAAACAGCAAAAGCTGCCTCCACCTTCAACCTCTTTGCCGAATTCACATCCTCAATGTCGGCACCTTCCACCAGTTCCCTCATGCCCTCGGCCTCTTGTGCTAATTCTATCTTTTCTCGCCCGCTCGCAGATGACACATCAGGGCTTTCAGACGCTGGATTATTCTGAACATGCTCTGCAGCAATTCTACCAGTACCCCTGTCAACACAATCGACGTTTTTCTTCTCTACATCTAAATTCGATTCCGTAGAGTTCATACTCGCTGTAATCCCGTCACCCAAGTCCCCCGGGCCAGCTTCTAATGTCGAATCCATGTCTGCAGTTAAAACCCGAGCGACACCAGAGCAGCTCCTCATTGAAAACCTCTCAAATGGACTAACTCCAAAATGCGAAACCCTGCCACAACCAACTCCCTGACCATTGGGAAGCAAATTGTGCGACTGAAGTCTTTCCGCCCCACCAGCAGACGAGGCGCTCCCCGACGACTCCCAACGTTTGGCGCAGCTGGAGAGGAGACCGCTAACAGAGCGCTTCCGGCGCAGGAACTCGCCGGCTCGTGCAGCTGCCCTCATCCATAAACCTTGCCAGTGAAAGGGATTCCAACGAACACGACAAGCTCAATAACAACTGCCGTATTGCAGCAAGTTGGGGAGAATCACCAGTGGTCCAGAAGCTCCAAAACCCTAAACGTGGAATCATCCAGCTTATTGTTTGTGGAAATGTCCCATATCAATTGATCAGCTCCTGGCGGCGAAGATCATGCCTTGTAAAGCTCGGCACTCTGGGCTTTTTGTTGCAGAGCCCCCGCCGTCCGATGCCGACTGAAAAGCCGAGATCTCCGTCCGTTTTTGGACGAGAAGTCTGGGTCTGCTGACGAGACTCCACAACTCCGTTCAAACATCCAACCACAATTCAGTCAAACACATCCATCAGTGGTGACTACTTCGAACCTGATTCGTAAGTCATTAGTTCATCACACATCCATTCGTAAGTTTCATTCATTCATGCTCTACATCACTAATTACTCAAAGTCTTCGCCGGCAACGACCAAACTGGTTCGGTCGCAATCTCGTGAATCCGAGGTAAGCGCGGGTGCGGTCGACCCCACGCGGGATCCAAATTTGCAAGTTCCGCGAGAACGAGTGCTTGGATTGCGAGTGAACGATGAATTCCTTGGCAGTTGCTTGCATACGAGTGGTTGTGAATATGAGCACTGGCCGTGATGTTGCGTCGTGGAGTTAACTGGAGAATTGGCTTGTTATCTCCTTGACGTCGTTTGTAACCCTAGGAGAGTTTGTGGATCGCGGGGCAATTTTTTTTGCATTCAGAGAGTTCGACGAGGAGCGTGCAGGGGTATTCTGTTGCCCTGGTGGTGATTTTTTCTTAGATAAGTTTTCCTATGGCGACGCCGGGGTCGAAGCAGCTCCGTCTTTTGTTTTGCGTCGCGTCTCTGATGCTTTTTTTCTTTGCGAACGTGAATTATGCTGCTGTGGAGGAAACGTGGTCTTCGGTTAGCGGGGACGCGGGGGAGGGGACGTTGGGTGTAGTTTTGGCAGATACGTCTCCATGTCATTCTCCCTTTGAGGTACGAGCTGTGTTTTCGAAGCTATTTGGGTGTTTGCGAGCGGTGCGGGGCATTCCTTTGCATGGCAAGTAACTGTTACGAGGTTTGGTGTCACGATCAGGAAAATCTGATCGTGGGCGCTGTATGGTCGATTGTGGAGGAATAGGGATTTTTTGAATAATGAATTTATACTTATCCAACAAGGCTTGTTAATGTAGGAGCACAGTGATTTGCTTGTTATTCGATTTGTTACGCTGTGCTTTTGCCGACACGCGGGGGATCGCTAGGGTCCACCTTCAATTTTTGATCGGGCTGCTATTGTGTGAATGCAGACACAGTACAGACAATTGTCGCAAGGTGTGGCATCTGTTGCTTCTGGCGGTGGCGCCAGTGATACTCCGACAGGTAGTACAACATTTTATCCATTTGGTTGAGGCTGGTTAAAACATCACTTGAATGCGCATTTCAAACTCTCACATACTAGTAGTAAAAGCTCCGCCGTGCATTCAAATAAGTAGTGGGTTTTACTCACAATATCAAGCCAACCCTTGCTGGAATTGAGATCTCATGTCATGCAGAGTTCTTTCAGCGCGTAGTTTGATCCATTTTCCTGTATGTAAGAAATGATGTTAATTAGTCTCAGTAGGTTCCGATCTGCTCAGTCATTTCTTTGGCTTATTGCGCACATCTTTTGTGTTCATCCTACGTGGATTGGGCAGGGGATCATTGATAGCCCCTTAGATGGACTGGTAGGGTTAGTTCATGTATGCGTAAGGACTGACTGTGGTGTTGTCCTGAAACAGAACTTTGCAATCATAAAATGAAAAAGTTGACATCGTGCCCTGTGCAATGCTTCAGAGCTGACCCGTACATATCTGTTCTCTTTAATCTCTTTTTCTTTTTCTTTTTTTAGTTTGAAGGAAAATATTCAAAGAAATGCTCGGTTCTTCATGGATGATCTGTCTATTTCCATGCTCGCTGATAAGTTCGTTGGGTCATTCACATTTCTACCCCTCCTCTTCTGTCGTTGAGGAGATCTTAATGTAATGTAATCGTTTCTGAAGCATGGGATATCTTTTTGTGTTCTTCTGCAGGGTTTGTGGGACAGATAATATCACATATTGGTAAGCTCCAGCACATACCTTTCCTCTATGGCGTGTGGTAAAGGCGATTCATTATTGTTTTTGAATCATGGCATCATTAGTTGCACCATATAGTTCTGTTGCAGATGCAGATCTGATTATTTTAGTGTTACATTGTACTTGGGTTTGCTATGCAACTTTATTTTGTTGAAACTTTCAACATCAGTGTTCTAATTTTTGTAAGTATGTACAGGTGTGGAGCTGCTGACGCGAAGTGTGCAGGAGTAGAAGTAGCTCATGATGGATACTGTAATGTGTGGGAGTTGGATGCAAACGTTGGCTCCACAACTGCAGTTCGTGCTGCTCAATCGTTACAGTTGGTTCACATGCTCTGGCTAGTGGTCGCTGGTTTGTTGATTGTATTGGGTTCGGTCTGAATTCAGAATATTATTAGTTTCATCTTTTATTTCAATCTTGAGTAGATTAATTCATTTTAGTTCGAAAATGAATTTTTGATTCGTCGATTTTCCGACCTTGAGCCCCGTCAACAATTGCGATCAGTCGGACTTACACGACTTACTCGAGTGAGGGTAGTGATTGAGAACATCTTCGCTTCTGCAAGCACAGTCCAACTTTTTTTTCTAGTTTTCCCTCTTTTTAGGAACTGGAGAGAGGGAATGTGAATCTTCATGTACGTTGGCTACATCGTATGGGGTTCACCTGCTCTTTAGCTAGAAGTTTTCTTACTTGGAATTATAAATTGAATCGATTCATAAGGTTTCAGGATCAGAAGTATTTGTTCCAGAAGTCAGGCAGGTGCTATACTAGTTGTCAGTGAAAGCTATATTGCAGCGATTTTAATCGGAACGTAGGCTTTTGGATCGGGGGAGCTGCCAAATAAGGATGAAAAACCTCTCTTGGGGGCCTTGAGGTATGTGTAACTCCACTATTACCTTTATACATAAAATCTTTACCACCTTTGTCACTTACATAGACCACCTGTCAGAATCTAAGGTACATGTCACATTTTGTGAAGGTTTTGTTCGCTTCGATGACTGTGCTGAGGAGTAGAATCATCTACGCAATCTCTGTGTTGTTCCAATGGGATTTCTGGAACATATAGATACAAGTCAATGAGTCTTTCAGGGGGTATCTTGTATTTTGAAGAAACATCAATCCAATCTCCTCCGTTTGCGGGTCAATTGCAATTGGTCCTCATGAGGTGCTTCTGCTCCTTCCTGAGAAATCACCTGTGAAGCTTCTTCATGTTCCATCCTCCTCCTGGGCCTTCTAACCGATTGAGTAAATGGCACAATTCTCTCAGGATCGCTCTCCCGTCCCCAAGCAGCATTTAACGACTCAACAAGATTTGGATTTTGTTCAGAACCAGAGGTGATTTCCTGTGGTGATGCGGTTGCATTCAGCTCAGCAAGAAATTCACTTGGGTTTAGACCTTCAGTATCATCAAGCTGGATTGTGATAAGGTTTCCTACATCTAGAGTAGCTGTGGATTGGGGCCTTAGGTTTCCTTCAATCGGTCGCTCCAAGTTCTGCAATAGTTGCGCGATATTGTTGAGTTGGGTGCGCATGGTGGTGATCCAGTCTGATACTTGCGAGGGGTTGACTGCCAAGCTGCTGATGGAGTCTTCCTGTGGTTGAGATAGTTGGGAAACAGCAGAAGCTATGATTTGCCTCCTTTGTTGTGCGGCCACGGTGTTGGGGTCTGAGTTCTCTTCCGTGTTTGCTAGGAATGCATGCATCAATGCTATCCATGAAGCGGCCTGCACAAATTAGCCTGGTTTCAGAGAGGATAGAATTGCTACCAAGTGGATTTTGGCTGGCGTAAAAATTACCCAGTTTTGCTGTTCAAATTGTTTTATGGGTAAAGTGGCACCTGTTTTGAAAAATCCTATAAAAGCATGACTTAATTGAATTCACCTTGATTTTTCAAGCAAACAAAAAACTGGTTACAGGATCCTGGTCACTGTGACGATGCAGCCTATGAAAGGAAACCGTCAACCGTGCATGTCACATGAAACACACCCTGTCGTCCTGTATGTTCTGTGGATTACCTCTGATGGATCCATCACGAGACGAGCGTTGTTTATTATATGCTCCCACTCTTGTGACAGAGGGGCACTGGGTGACAGTGTTTGTTGTCTTGCCCCGCCTGTTACCACTGGATCCTCATGTGTGGCACTCCTTGAGTGAGAGTTTGCCGAAGTTTGCCGGAGCTGCTCGCGTGTAAAGGGTAGTCTACCCCGCCAGTGGCTGATTTGAGACCGTTCTGTTGGATCGTTTTCCGCTCTATCCCATTCATTCATGCCACGCTCCATGTCCTGCAATCTGGATACAATTTCCGCACCTGCCTGCAGGATATCCACACCTCTAAGGGGTGTGACCTCGGAGTTTGGGATGTCAAAACTGCGTGCCTGTGGCTGACCTTCAGTTTCTGTAGCTACCCTCTCAACCTGTAAGACTTGCTCATGCTCTTGGTTAGTTCTCTCCCCAGCTTCTGCTTCCCGAAGTTCTCGGTCACGCCTCTCTCTATCTCTTTGTTGCCTTGCGCTCTCTACTCTCCTTGCAACAGGGCGCGGAGGTGTTGTTTCAGTCCCTAGTCCATCCTGCATTCCGGCCTCAGCTAGAGCATTCTCACGCCCATAAATTGGCGTAATGTTGTATTCGGCCACTGACCCTTTGCAGACTGGACACTCCTTGTGGTATGAATGCACATGTAGCCATCTGTACAGGCACGGCCAGCAGAAGAGATGGCCGCAGCATGTAACCACTGCTTCGTTCGCCTTCTGAAAGCAAATGTTGCATTTAAAGCTGTCCCCTATGCCTAACGGTTCTTCGATTTCTGTCACTGCTGAAGTTAATCGGGACAACCTTTCTTGACTCCCTTCAATTTCGATGGGAGTTTGTGGCATGAATCCACTTGTCACAGACCCTGGACATAGATTAAATCAGAAAGAAGTGATAACAAAAGACCCATCGCAGTCAGTGATATCTTCCTTTCTCACTTTCTCCTTCAAAGCAGGTCAAAAGTTGAAAGGTTCGGAATTTCTTTATGATATCTCTAGAATCGTGAAAACACCTCCAATGCTTGTGCAACATGAGGAATGTTAGCGATGAAGAAACCAAAGTTGCACGCTGTCGAATCACCTGTGATGCTGGTCGAAGCGCTACGTTCTCTGTTCGCAGCGCCTGCAGCGACGGTGCGGTTATTTGAAACACGCCCCCTGTTTGTCCTGTTCCGCCTCCTGATTCTCTGCCTCATATGAGATAATGTCCGAGGTAGTACTAGTTGCTCTTGCTGTCTAGTTTCAAATGCGGTCTGTTCACTGTCGACATAACCCTCTGCTCGCTCCAAGTTATTTTGTTGTTGACGTCCCCGATATCCTTGTATCTGCTCTTCCGCAGGTGGATGGTATTCTTGGTAACCGCGACGCAACTCCGCTGGTGCCGTGTACACGTTTCCTTCATGTATGCTGTTAGACGCGTAATCTTGCTGATCATAGTATGATTGATGAGAATCTGCTCTTTGGAATGAAGGGTAATTCTGTGGCCCCACTTGTTGCATATATGGGTTGTAGATTGGGATCGGAGTTGCAGCATTGAGGGTCAAATCTACATGTCTCGAAACTGATGTTTCCGACTCAGGGCCAGAAATCTGAGGGCCTTGTTCTGTAGTGCTGTGATTGTCTTCTCCAGGCACTGGGGTTGCCATACCCACAAATTTTCCCCTTCCCACTATTTCTGTTGATTATTACTTTAATTTATCGTCCGTTCGTTTGTTCGTTTTTCTTTTTTTTCTTTTTGCCTCTATATGATGAAAACCCGGAGATAATTGGTTCTTTGGTGCTTGTATTCTGTGTCAAAGTGACATTTCGAAGGTTACTCGAAGAACACCGTGTCGACATTTACTGCACCGAAGAGTCATCTTTAATAAAGATAAATTAAAGAAGTGTCACCTTCTAACGACTGTGCTGCGCATCATGGGTTATTTTTGACAGAAAAGTTGACAATGGTGGTGGAATTCACGCTCATCAACAGAGCAGCCCTCAAGGTAAGCAACCACATCTCACATCCATGCCGGACACATGGACCTCCCGAAGCACCGAAGAGTGATTTCGTGTGAAAATGTTGATGTGCTTGCTAAGAACACGCATCGTGCGATTGATGGCATGGAAATCGTTGGATTTAGAACAACAGGTAGAATTGTGTTGGATGCACGTAAACTGCAACAGCCCCGGGAGGCAGAAAAAATTGAAATCTGACGATCCAAGAGCTGGGTAACAGTCATGACCACATCCGTTGTCGCTTGAGAGCGTACTGAAGAACCTCGACGGTGAGACAAAGGGGTGCGGACACAAACCCCTTGCGAAGAAGCATGCAAATAACCTACCATTCGGCTTTCTCAATCTCTGCGCGCCACGTCATGTTGTAGTGAATGACCATTGCAGAAACGCTATTTGGAGAAAAAATATCAGATTGAAGAGAGGAAGGCAACTCCCTTTGTTGATGTCTCCGTTGCAACTGAATCGAGCGAGGATGAACGAACATTTCCTTCGCTAAACACTGAAACAGTTGCGCCATCTGGTTTCTCATTTCTGGGATTTTTATGTCACACGACGTTCCACTGGTACAAATTCCAACAGTTAATACTACCGACATCGGTTTGTCGCAGAACCCGGAGTACCTACTTTGCGCATTTTGTGTTTCATCACACTCATTTTAGTATCAAGTTGATCAGATCAAGCCACAAATCGAAGCAAAGTCCATGATCTTGATTCACAGCAGCATGGATCCAAAACCTTGCAAATCAATGGGTGATGAATTAATAGTGCTCGAATTCGAGGTATTGCATGTTCCATTCTTCGCAGAGTTGAAATCTAAAGTTGCCGAAGTAAGCAGCACACAATGGCTTCATGGAAGCTTGTAGCCCTCAAGACTTGCAGCAAAGTAACATTATAAAGCTTTAGTATCAATGAAATCAATTATTTGTTAAAGCTTAAAACACGTTATTTTATTTTTAGAGCACACGTTTTTAAAATCTTTGATACATGATTTTTTAAATAATGTATTAAAAAAAATTGTAAAGAATGTGCAAAATAGAATGCAAAGTTTATAAAAACATTAATTTTGGCATAAGATTTAAATCATCAATTGAAGATTGTTTGTTTGTTGAGAACTTTTAATAAAATCCCAAATTATGCATGCATACTTTCTAAGAGAATGATCTTTAAAAAGGTGTATTATCAATATTTAAACATAATTACAATCTATGGTATAAGAAAATTGTAACACTTAAAAAATGTATGGTCAAAATCTTGAAATTGTTTTATTTGACATCAAAAATTCTTACTAGTATTCTTATTTCCTTTTATTAAAAGTATCATTAAATATTCATAGATGTATATCAATCACTAAAATTTAACAAAAGAACAATTTAATTTTTTAATAGCATATATTTTTAGATTTATTGACCAATTTGTTAAGGTCAATATAGACATACAAAGATAAATATTTGTACAATCTATAAACCAACGTAGAAAAAGAATACTGATATAAATAAATAAATAAATATATATATAATATATATATATAATTTTTGTATTTTAAAACAAGATAAATTTATTTTGAATATACATATATATATATATATATATATATATATATATATACAAATTTATTCAATAAATTTTAATGTTTATCTCAGAATACTATTTTATTAGTAATCAAACAAATGATTTCTATAAGCAGCCAAAAGCAAGATACTATTATTCTTTTTTTGCATTTCTTTATGTATGAAATATTTTAGACATCCTTATTAAAATTCAAAAATAATTTAATAATATGGTTTATTTAGATTACTTGGAACACACGGTAATCCATATTTCCAAATTACTGTGGGTAAAAAGCGAGGTGGGTTATAGGAAGCCGAGAGATCGTTGACGATGCTCAAACTTTTCGTTAACGATAGTTCGACGTGGTTGTCTTCGTCCATTCCAAGTCGTCAAGACCAACGATATCGTGCGACCGAGTAACCTGCTGCATCCGGTCGTCTTGCGTGTATGCCTGCAAAAAATTTAGGGTTTCCAGGGTTTCGTGTACGCTCATTTCATTGAAGAAATTGGCGAATTTTCTCCCGAAATTTTGTGTTCATTCGCCTTAGCTACGTACTTCTTCGTCGGGGACCTGCGGCGGTGACGCGCGGTTGAGAAAATTTGTCGGTATGGACATGCTAGTTTGAGTTCGGGAGTAAAATACATCACCAAGCCTCCGGAAATATGCGTATGTTCTGTATTGCTTCTGTTCTTGTGGTTTCGTTGTCGCATGTGTTATGCGATGCTTGAAACACTTTTCTTAGTTTGCGTCACATAGTTTGGATGTCACCGAGTGTTTCGTCGCCTTTGTTTATTGTGTCTCTTGACCTCGAAGGTTGTGGTTCTCTCTGCGGAACGTATGTTTCTCGTACAAGTCTTAGTTGCTGGATCCGTCGAATCTGAAGGCATTTATGATGCAGTGCAGGGCATCTTGTGCGTGTTTTTTGAAACAAGAGGTCTCTTAGTCGAGTTATTCTCATTAATCATTTTTGTCGGCTCGTGCTTGGGAGAGCGTGAACCAAGATCTATTTCATTATTTGTGGGATTCCGTGCGAAGGTTACTGAGATTGACGTCTTTGTTGATAACTACTCTATTGCTGCATTGCAGTACGAGAGTGCAGATGCCTTAGAAGAGGCAACATAGAATAGAATCTTGAAGGGACGGCCTCGTGTCATGTTTGGTACTTTTGCGTGTGATAAATCATAAATGCGCAACCTTGACTGGTTTATATTAAAATAATTGCGAAGTTGTTCATTAAGTCTGTTCTCTTTCTCGGTGATAAGGGCCTGTTAGAGACACATGTTGCACTCGGTCCATGTCGATTCTGGCTCTCGAGATTCATTGTAAATGAACTATGTAGTTAATGTGGGAAGTGTAGGAAGGATCCAGCTTTCGCATTGCCACCTATTCAAATGTGAATTATAGATTGAGAGTTGTAACATGTATACATGATTGTTGCTCAATATGTCCATTTAACGAAATACATTTGTTGCAAAATACAGGATTTTGGATTTTCAGATTTGACAAACATCGGATCAAACGTCATTGACAGTTGCCTCAACTGTTATTCCGGGGTGTTCGAAGCCATGGATACTGCCGGCAGTCGTCCAAAAGATGATGTCTCCTTACCTAAAGGTACTGAAATCGTATCTGCTGTGGCTTCTCGTTATCAGTTGGTTGTCTGATAATCTATTCTGTTTGCTTGGTGCTCTTTACGTTAAGCTCCATACAACTTCTCTTTTGTCATTCGGTCTCAGTCGTCGGTTTGGTTGTTTTAGGTTACGGATTTTCACTTACCTAGTTCCTGTTTAGTAAATGTATATTTCTAGATATCCTTGATTGAGTGGCTTGTCAAGGCTTTCCTGGCTCAACTTTTCAGCTTATACTAATGTTTGTAACACCTTTATTTTAAACGAGTTACCTGCTTCTGTGTCATGGTTGGATTTGGCCAAAATTAATGAATTGCTGGGCCAGAAGATGGTCGGTGTTGGCATACATGCATTCTCAAACTTACTTTAGAATAAATGCTTTTGCATGCAGCTACCATGACTAAAATCATCAAAGAGATGCTGCCCCCAGATGTCCGGGTTGCCAAAGATGCACAAGATTTGCTAGTGGAATGTTGTGTTGGTTAGATTCTCATCTGCTCTATTTTCCATGTTTTGGTTCCGCACAATCCTTTTAGGGCGCGTAAATAATTTTTGCAAACAGAGGGTAATGTTAGCGCGTGCTTTTCAGTAGCAGGAGCTTATTAACACCCACACGCACCCACACATCCCCTCACATCTTTTTGCCCTCGTCAGGGCCTTTTCGCAAATTTGATGTGGTGATTTGTGGTTGCAGAGTTCATCAACTTGATCTCGTCTGAATCAAATGAGATCTGCAGCAAGGATGAGAAGCGTACGATAGCTCCAGAGCATGTTCTGCGAGCCCTTGAGGTACTCTCTTTTTCATGTCCTATATCTTTGTAAATGCTTATTACATGGTGTATTGTGCCTAGCAGTATGCCAGCTTCAGGTGTTTGTTGTCTTGAAAGGACTTTGCATTCTGCAGCACAGTCTTTGTAGACTCATCCCTTCTCATGATTATGTTGGTATTGTGCCTCAGCTCATGATAGAATGTTGTGTATGTTATTGCAGCTCTTTTCGCCTTTAAGTTTTGACAACTTTGTGTGACTTGGTTTTTAATCTAAACTGACATGAAAATCCATGCAGATCCTGGGTTTCGGAGAGTACATAGGGGAAGTACAAGCCGCTTACGAGCAACACAAGAATGAGTCTCTGGTACGGTTCGTTTTGGTTTAGCGCTATTCGCCAGTTTTAAGAACTTCGACTCTAGGAAGCTAGATACGAACGATTACTTGATTTCTTGCGGATAACCATTTCGTGCGAATAGGAATATTTGAGTAGAGACTAGAGCTTAAGCTACGGTTTATCTCAGTACATTCACTTATTAGATCTGAAACTGGCAGTTTTATCTAGTACTTGTTTAGTAACTAAACTTGAATGCAATATTGTAACCTAATATATGATATCTGTACCTGTTTGCTCAGGAATCCCCTAAGGTAGGAGGAAGATGGGCAAAGGAAGGAGGAGGAGGGGGCATGACTGAAGAAGAGGCTATAGCTGCTCAGCAGAGAATGTTTGCAGAAGCTCGTGCGCGCATGAACAGTGGTGGAGCAGCTGCGCCTGCTGCACAAGCCAATGACTCCGACTAGGACTCTTTATTTGAACAACACTATCTTTGTACAAAGAGATTCTCTTCTTTATACCCTTGTTTGGAGTTGGTGAGCTCGATGTTTTGTGAGCGATGTCCAATTCTCAAACTGTAAAGACAAGAAGCATGTATAATTTCATTTCCGACTGCAGAATTGTATTTTGCCTCATTTCCCAGCCTCATTCAACAAGTCGTTGCTCTGCAACTTGTTTATTTTTGTTTCTAAAAACCCCTGATTCTTTCTACCTCATATGTAGCCGTTGGAACTCATAGGTTAGTGATTACAAATGCACTAAATTAGCAATCTCTAGCAGTTTTTTAGCTGGCTTTATGTTACACTACTCAAAAGTGAACAAACCGTCTAACGCAGTGAGAGTGGGTTTCCATCTTGAATGATAATGAACTATTATTAGGTGTAGTTAGAGTGGGTTCGTTGGTATATTTAAAGGCGAGAACTGAGGTTGATGAGTGGTGAGCTCCTCTCAGATATCGGTTCAAAAGATCTGGTGCGTGTGTTGAAAACAATTTACTGATTGTTTAGTAGCAATCCTTTTTTTACCAAAGGAATAGGTTTCTGGAGCTACTGACTGTCCCAGTTAGACAGCATAGACTGCTAAAATTGGTAGGTAAGCAATTTTTGACTGTAACGAACTCTAGAGCTTGAAGATACCTGCATTTGACTTTATAGAAGACCCTTACAATATTTTAGAACTAAATCAAGCACATAACAATAATCAATGTACAAATGTGTATGCAACTTGGGTATATTGTAGATATACAAAGAGTGAGCAAGGACAATGTATAAAGTGTTTGTACAACAATTTATATATATGAACATGTTGTGTGATTTAGGAGGGTGAGAATTTAACAACTCGATAGTGACGCATTAACAATGATATTTATTATTGAATTTAATGTTGAAAAAAATATAATCCTGTTTGTAAATTACTCTAAAAAAATTATAATCATCCACAAAAATAAAATTATCATTGCAATACTGTATAAAAATTTGTAACTATTGTATTAACTAATTGTCGGTGCACAATCATAATGATCTTTTAAACCAATATTTGACATATCGAAAATAATCATCCAAACATTGGTTTGATTTCATTTGATATATATATTTGCATTAAAAAATAAATCCATGCATTTAGACCATAGATTTGTGTTGGAAGATTTAACATTTAAGGACTATTTCAATTGATTACGTTTCTTAAATTGATTAAGGTACGAGATCATGCACATTCGTACCAAAACTATGATAGTGTGAACAGTCTCCACGATTATATTGGATGGATTGGTCCCCTACTGATATAATGGCATTGGGCTCCACGTCAACAAGATGACGTCATCGACTTCTGAGCCACTCCTGCGGTGCATGGAAGCAACAGCGGCTTCGGAATGGCGATGGTGCTGTAATCGCCGCCACTGAAGCAAGGATCTTACCAAATAACTGGGTTATGGAGAAAATGCGTGCTATGAGCTGAATTCAGTCGCAAAATTGGAATTTGTGTAATTATTGGTGGGGTGGCTTGCTTGGCGTGGGCAGTTGTGGAGGAGCTCAACAATGCGGTGGAGGGAGAGGGTGTGGCGATGGGTGACTAGATCCGCAGAGGTGTATATGGCGGGGCTGCCTCGAAAGGCCTTCATCAATTCCCTCTCCAATTGTCTCAGGTAACGTTGGATTTTTTTCTTCCTGATGTTACGGTGGTCTCTATGTGCATTTCGTCTCGTGAGGATGTCTTTACGAAGACGGTATTGCGTTCATGGCTTTAGGGTTGAATCTCGCATTTTGGAAACAGAGTTGATGGCATGATTCTGCTGAGCTTCGGGATTCGGGAGAATAGAATGGGTACATACTTGTCAACATTTTCTGAAATTTCAATAATCTCCCTGCGATTGCATTGGTGCTGGACAGGAGAATGTGATGTTCTTGTTACTGGGAATCTTAGTTGCTAGAGGCTTGTGTTTGTCCGGGATTATGTCGTGATTGTCATGAGCGAAGCATTTGGGTTTTATTGAACAGGGAGTATCCGCAGCTCAATGGTAGGGAATCAGTTGTTGTGCACCGGATTGAAGAGCTGTATCAATCCGGCATGGAGCGACACGCAGCCTTGGCAGTTGATGACCGAGCTTCCACACACCTACAAGTATGTATTGTCTGCTTAAGCCTATTTAAGTGAATCCTTGGACGGAACTAGAGCCGTATGTTTTCCTGTTATGTTCATCTTCAACATTAGACAAACCGGACACTAATCGAGGCCAGTTTGTGTTGAATTGTATCCAAGATAGCTTGTTTGGTTCAAGGGACATATCAAACCTTGCTTCCATGGTTCAAGAACGACCACGAGAAGGTCATGGAAATTATAAGAAAGCCAGTAGGTGAGAGCTCGGCAGCTGCTGTGGGTGTCGCCCAAAGGATTGCATTGTTGCTAAGCTTTGACAAGTTCCGGCTTGTGTCGAAAGGGTTGAAGCACATGGAGGCAGACTTCGGGAAAGCTTTTGTGGTCGAGCATTATGAAAAGCCTGAGTAAGCATAACTTTTCATCGTACCCTCCTTAAATGCTCTCTCACGCGTCAAATGCATCTAGTTTCAATCTTTGAGAGCTTGCCAACCTTTTCTGTTCTCAAGCCCCTCTAGCAATATAATGCAGCCCACTGACCTTCAATTTACCTACTCAACACCATTACACCTGATCTATATTGCTAGTATTTGGGATGTGTAGTGTGAATAATTCATACCTAATGAAGGAATGTGTTTACCAGATTTGACTCATTTTGGTGTAGCAACACTCAATCAAGTTTTGTGTAGACTGCAACTCTTTTGTAACGCTCAAGCACTGACAGGATCATACTGTTGCACTGCAGTTTCCATAGGGCTAGAGTGCGTCGTTGTCTCTACCATTCTGTTTTCACAGCCGAAGGCAACCCACAACTGACGCCTATATTTTGTGCATTGGATAGTATGTGGTAAGTCTTCCATCAGAATACAATCTACAGGTAATCTTGAGCTCGTGTGCTGGTTACATAGTTACAAGGAGGAAAATGTACTCTATAGTGCATACGAGGGAGCTGGTACATGTTTCAAAGTCAATTGTTTGAATTATGTGAGGTGCGCCTGGTTCAGGTTCGATCAGTTAAAACCACAGAAGCATGGAGTTGAATTCCGGCGACCCACTACTCTTGCCGGAGGGAATGCAGCATGTGACTTTGTGTTACGAAAACTAAGGGGGGGTATTGCTCAACACAAAAATCGATAAAAATCCTACTGTATTAGGTGAACGTCCCGCCGAGATTTCCTACACTTCCACGCATCTCTGTTATAACCATCATTCATGTGCTCATTCAAAATTGAAAAGAATTATGTTTTGTAAATGATAGATTGTGTCAAGCTTGCATGTGTAATATATTTAATAAGAGTATGTAAGATTGAAACAATGAATATTTAAAGTATTATAAACAATTTTTTTTTATTACAATACAAAATTTTCTATTTAATATAATGACTTGGTTCCACTTTATTCTTATCTAACTTCTACTTGAAAACTAAGCCCATTCTCTTTCAATACAATAGACTTTTAATTCACAATCTACACATCAACTTATTCACTTTTTCACTTCTAGTAACAAACAAAACTGCAAAATAGAACACTTCAAAACAATCGCCATTCAGCTCCACGGAAACTAAACTTGTAAACTTACCCTCCAATCGTCCACAGGATCTCGTAGTGATCTCAACCACCAAATCAACTCAGCCCTGGAGATGTTATTCACAAATATTGGCTCTCCCACTGCAATTCATCAAATCTACCACACCCTCTGCACATCACTCCCTAGTCCAACTGGATTCACAGAATTGTGTATTTTTTGGAGGATGCATAGAGAAAGACTTCTAGAGATGGGCATGCCGTGTTTGATAAAGAAAAAATCAAATTTTTGTGAGGCTTATATTCCAATACTCTGTACACTCTGTCTTAATCTTTTCAGTTCAGAATCCAACTTCTGCGATTCCTCTTGCAAAATTTCTACGCGGCGTAACTTTTCTTCAACAGCATTAAGGTAAGGGGCCGTCAAGGTCTCCACTTCAGCTCTTACAGCGTCAATAGATTTTTGCAGGTCATCTTTCATAGCTTCCTCAATTTGTCTTGCTAAAGAGTCTGCAACCCGCCTCACCTTCTTCTTCACAACCTCCCTTTGCGAAGGTAACTTCCAGACTCCAACCAACCTGTTGAATCACTTTTTAGATTCCACCTCACAAAGTCGCAATGAAACAGGGAACCAACATCAACCTTGGACGGGGTGCAGGTGAAGAAAATACATAATTGCTAACAGCAACCTCACAGCCGCAAGAACAGAGACATCCGGAACCACTAGGTGCTGTACATGATGAGGAGATCTTACCCTCCAGCTGAGCACACTCCAAGAGCAATGAGATCTTCCAGAGTGGTTGGCAAAATGGATGTCAATACGGACGCTGAGATTCCCGCTGCTCCAACCCCACTAAATATACTGACGACCTACCACAATTTTCATACAGTCGGTTAGTCCATTGTTCCAACGCAACACGTCATATACTCAAATTTCCTTTCTTACCCTCTCCACCCAAAACAGCCAATGCCTGATCACATCACGTTGTTAGGAGTAGCTCCCAAGCATTTTCTCGTATTTCTGTCACCAGCTGCTACAGTAATATCTGTCTTAATATAAAAAGTGTATCAGATCTTGTGTAGAAAGCTAAAGAAATTACGTAAAATGGAATCAATGAGGCTTACCACTTCCTTAAACTCTTGCTCTAAAAGTATAATGGCGGCGTTAGTGTCGAAGTCCATTAGCGTAGTCAGACTACGACTACTTTGCTCAGCCATGTGCTTTGAATCTCTGTTCCGCAAGTCAACTACTGGTGAGCTTTCCACATTATGCTGAGAATCTTCCTTGACTTGCGGCCACCTACTGATTATCAAAGAGCGGTAACTGCTGAGTTGGCGGATGCTGTTTGATTCCATCCATTCCTTGTATTCCTTCAGTGCTTTCTGTTACATTCCACCACTCTCAACATAAAACAAATGCTACTTATTGTTCATGGATCAGGTCAGCAGCCAGACACATTATGCAAGGTAGTGCACCACATGATAGCTTTAAGATATGAAATATTCGGGGTGATATTATGGTAAGCAGTCAGGTTCTAAAACTGCACTGCTTGAAGAGAGTAAGTTGATAAAAACATACTAAGCGTGATTTCATAGCATATCTGAAGATATATGCCATCAGTTTTTTGTCTACGAAATATATCATAATACAGGCCATCATTAAAAAGATTGGCAAGGCTCACCCAGTAACACCAATAATGGACAACCAAGAGTACAAGTTCTGTGTAGACAAAGACATCGAGCTTCCTTTTTCTGAACTCATAATAGCAAATCAGTGAATCTGGTATCTACCTCAACATCAGTAACAGCAGAGCCAATAACTTTGCTGTCAAAGCCACTTGACACAGGCATAGACCGGACTCCGCCTGATCCAAGCAAGTACTTTCCAATCGCTTCAACATTAGATAACCGTAGAATCGAATCAACGAACTTTTCAGCACGTCCTTTCACTGCTTCAATCTGTAAATTGCAACGAAATCGTTTAACATCCTAACTTGCAGACAGCTATTACGCAAGTAAATCAGTACTCAATGACTACACACTCAAATCTTTGAGGATTCAATGTGCCGACACGAAATATTTTCTTATGCCTAATATCTCTAAAACACAGAAATCTTTAGTTTTTGACGTCAAAGGTACAAAGATTATCAACAGTGATGGGCTCATTGGGGGGTATAGTACAATTGCAAGACCACACAAAACATCTGGAAATGATCAATCAGTGCTTGGGCACTAAACCTGAATGTTGGACTATATTATTGACACAATGACGTGCTTATATTCTTATCCAAGTTCTAATGTGTAAAAGCAAGCTATGGTAGGATGACAAGAACACTCGATTTGTAGGAAGTTCAGCAGATAAAAATATCTAGCCCTATCATCCAAACTATATAAAAACCAAATTGCCAGATACAATGACGAAAACGAGAAGCACCTACCACTGCCAAAATACTTAGTCTCTGTAGAATTGCACCGTTAAGCATAGCCTCCTCAAATTTCTGCAGCCGCTTCCGCACATCCTCGAGAACTTTCAAATCGCTTTCAGCTTTGGAAGCCTCCGCTGTCAGCTGTTGTTCACATGCCGCCAAAAGAGCAAAGCTGATACCTAATGGAGTCTCCAACTTCAGTCGTAATCTCTCTGCACCCCTGTCAGTAGATGCCCCCATGAATCCAAAAATAAATTCCTCGAGCTCCTTAAAACCACTGGTAGTCCAAAGGGGGTCTTCAGACAAGCGGGCTACGTCTACTGTGCCATCTTCTAACAAAGCTGAAAGCTTTGCCTGTAGAGCTTGGCGAGCTGAGACAGGGTAGACTAGTGCTTGTTCCACAGTAAGAAGCCGTTGTGCATTATCTCTTACAAAGTTGCGAACCTCTTCTACCTGTCCAGGGCCCTCTAGTCAGATTGGCACTTGTACAAGCACAATGGGGAACTTAGTTGGAAACTCCATGCTAATCTTCATGCATAATCATAGGCGGAAGGAGGTATACCTCATTGTAAGTAGGTAAGACATCTGATTTGTTCAAGATAAAAACAATTTTCTTGCCCCATTGTTTTATGTAACGCAAAAATGTCACCTGCCAACCATCAAAAGAAAGTATTAAGAAAAGGTGCCATATCTGAATGATTTTGTTAAGAGGAAAAGAGGAAACTCAGAACTACAAGTGCGCTACTTATCAGCTTGAAATTACAGCGTACAACAGGTGCATAACAAAAGCTAGGGCATAGTACATTCACGCTTGTTAAACATAGCGAAGGCATACCTCACTCTCGGTCAGTGCCCTGTCAGCTGATAAGACAAAGAGAATCAAATCTGCTCTCGGCACAAACTCTTCTGTTAGGCGTTGCTGCCGCTGCAGGATGACGTTTGTGCCAGGAGTGTCCACTAAATTCATCTGCACTGTCCACCTCGCTATTTCAATTTTCATAGAATTCTCAGGAAATGTTTCTTTTCACTTGTAAGTCTTTCAAAACCCAGCTAACGTAAATTATACCAACAAAAACCAAAAACTGCTAATATCTCCAGAACGGGAGGGAGGGAGAGGGAGAGAGCGGAAACTATATATATATATATATATATATATATACATACATATATTATCTCCAAACCTCCTTAACAAAGAACTACATAGCACTTCAAGGCATCATGTATACACAAACCTGTAAGTAATACCTACTACGCTATTGACCACTAGAATCACATGCTATGACAGCTAGTAAGATACAAACCTGTTTGAGGATATTAGCTGGTAAGAACCGTAAGAAATGCCCATCAGGATGCCGCTCCTCCCGCTCTTCTGCGTCTCCTCCATCAGTCGAATGTCGCAACACTGTGATTTCGTTCGTTGTGGGCAAGACTCCCTCTTTCAAGTATCTCTTTCCTAAAAGTGCGTTTATGATTGATGATTTTCCTGAGTTGAACTCACCCTGTCCAAACCAAGCAAGACGATCAAGCAACTTTTTAAGTTAAAACTCAAACAACAACAACAACAACAATAATTACTACTACCACCACCGCACAAAACGAACTTAAATCCAAAGAGCAAGAAGCTACTACCATTGGACCCTATGAAAATTCTAAAAAAGAAATATAAAGCTCTGTATTCACGAAAAAATCTTCAGTTAAGTACAAAAAGGATTTAACCAAGTGAAGGTCAGGTGATAACGCTTACCACAACGACTGATAAAAACAACTCATCCAGTTGTTTCAGGGCATCCACTAGCAGCGAAACTTCCTCCATCTGAAAACATACATGAACCAATTCAGAAACAGTGACAAACGAACTCGACGGCGATGCACTCAACACACACACACACACACACACACACACACACATATATATATATATACCAGGTAGATCAATAGCTTCAGCAAACAAGTTGATCGCTTTTCCAGCTGTTCTATGAAGGTATAAAGTTACGTCAATTATTTGAGTGCTTAACAGGACAGTTCTAATCAGCAGTTCGCGCTTTGCACTCCACCACTACTGGTTAAGTAACTTCAGAAACTCACCTCAGGTGATGCATCTTCCACGAAATCAACCATCGCTGTGAGGAGCGCGCGTTCTTCATCGACAATCTTCTTAGATTTCTTCTTCACAGAATCCTCCTCCATGTCGAGATTTATCACTGCAACGTCCTCCGTAAGACCAAGAAGAGCCCCACCATCCTCCACGTCGAAGTCTTTAATTTCCTTTTCCTTTTCTGGCGAATAACTGTTCTCCATTTCTTTTCTTCTTTCGATGGCCAGATTTACAGAAGCAACCAAAGACGACACATAATTGGGTAGATCACCTCCTCCATTTTTTGTAATAGCAGCCGTACTCAGGACCAACCCATTTGCTCCATCTTGAAGGAAGTCCGTTCCGATTTTGGCAGATGCAACTCCAGACCCTGAAATCTCTAAAAACACAGGGATGCTAATTCCATCGCAAACTCCTTTGACAAGATTTTTTTCCTTGTCATTGACTTCAAGAATGAGTAGATCAGCCCCCTCACCAGCAGTCGCTGTTTGAGCGGATTGGACTGATGAAACACAACGAGCCACAAGAGGCAACACAGATGTCTCCAACCCCGAATTCTGCATCATTCTCCTGGCTACCACAGCTGGCAATCCTGCACACATTTACTGCCAATAAAATAAGAAAACTTTCAAAACTACAACTTGTAACTAAGTTATGACTAGTCCTTTCATTTGAAGATACCTTGCACGTGCCTGTAAAAGGGGAAGAATAGGGTCCTGTCCGGTTTCAGAATATAAAATTAATCAATTTGTGACATACAGAGGAATTCATCAAGCCTTTCTTATTGAAAAAGAAGAAGGAAATCTGAGCTGAACATGTATCTAGGCTTAACATATCTGATGACTGCAGTGATTGCACTGCGGATGGAGTACAAATTATTAAAAACAGAAGCATGCACATGTAACGTTGCCGAGAGAGAATACAGTTGGAGAAGGAGAAAAGACCTTCATCTGTCAGAAGGACTCCATCTGCTCCTGAGGCGGCAGCAATATCAACTCTCTCTGCTATCAAAAGCTCTGCTCTACCGCGCAGCATCGTCTTCAGCATACACCCCGCATCGTAAAGCCTGGCACCTCCTAATCCTCCGTCGCCACTATCTTCCAAAATAATCATTGTAACCCCTCCGGCCACTGCAGTATTAATTTCCTCAAGCAGGAGATTTTTCTGTTCTTCTCTTGACATTTCCTCCAACCTAACGCGAAGAACCAAGCCTGGTAGACGCACCTCTGCCCTCCTTACACCACCAGGAAAAACCCCTTTGGGAGATTGTGGTACAGCAGCTTCACGTGATGAATCTGAACTCAAATCCATCTCAAAACCGTCCACTACGGAACACCTTGCCACTCCAGCACACCTCTTGGAGGTTGACCTGCACCGAGACGTATCTAAAAGGGTGTGTAGGGATCCATGAACAATTAGACGGACGTGGTGACCATATCTATAGTTTTTGTTTTCCACAAATGTCCTAGTCGCACCCTCCTTGACCGCCTCGATTAAAGCACCTGCCTACAAAGAATACCAAAGAGGCGATCAGCCCATGCAAGTAAATTCACCGAGTTGTTCATCAAACTGATCCAATAGACTAGGCAAATCTACAACCTGTTCTGGATAAATCTGGACAGACAACAAAAAAAACTGGCAAAATAATAAAGAACCTCTGTTGTGTTTCATGGTGACCAGCTCCAAGTTCAAAACCCAAATCTATGTCCGCACAATGATTCTAATTTGAATTCCTCATTTACGATTAGGCACAAAGTCATGCGATGTCTTCCCAAAATCCTTTACATCTACGTTCCACTTTCAAAAACTGGTGATATTGAGACGTTGACAAGATCTCGATTTGGGAACCGTTGATTTAAAGGTTGGTACCTTTGTATAATAGCTCCTGCAAACAATGTAAACTACGGGAGCCATTAACTGCTCCACTCTCGCATTCGCTCTACTGCATTTCAATTGAACGTGTAGTCTCCCAGCTCCCGATCTCGCACTTCTCGACCTAAGCACGTTGCTACTTAACTTGCAGTGGTAATACGCAGTATGCCTCTGCACTCCAGATACATACAATCAGCAGATTCCCATTATCAATAATAAACATGTCACATACACGCCATTCTATACCCTATTTCCTAGCACAGAAGAATCTGCATTGCTGGTTCTGGAGAGGCTGCTTGTAACCGCAAATATCCCACAAACTTTGGACTCATCTCAGAGCTTGAAATTCAATCCAATCAGTATGACGACTTTGCAGTCCCTTTAAGAGAATGCTTCTGCATACGAGGTACTGGTACAAATATGCTAGGGGATAATTGCCCACACAACAAATACTTACACACCAATACTGAGGGCAGTCATTCGCACAATTTATTCTGAATTCTCATGTATTGCGGTTCTCACCGTGTGGGTAGATGGATAAATGCGCGGCACCAACACGTCACCAGAGTGCCATGATTCAGCTCCAACGCCGCTCCCTCGAGCTCTAAAACCTTCATCAATTCCTAAAGAATTTCTTACAGAATCACGATGGGATGTAAACATCAACAAGGATGGGGGTCCAGTGCGGCTACTGTAAGGCAAACAAGGCACGTCGATGATAGAGGGATTCATCGAGCAGGGTAAGCCTGGAGTTCTCACTGCCAAACCCATGGCTAGCTGCGAAATTCCAAGCCCTCAGAAGAGCCCAGAAAATACAATTTCTACAGGGAAGAGGTGGGAAATTCTCATTCGTAGAAAAAGAAGTAGAAGAAGAAGAAGAAGAGTTAAAATCAAGACAATATCAACTAAACGAGTAGCACCTCCTGAACAGCTAAACCACCCACGTAATCCATTCCAAAAGACGACCTCCAATTCTTCTCACACTCCGATCCAACACCCCGCATTCAAATCCACCTCCTCTATGTACCGCTAAAAAAAAAAAAAAAAAAACACAAAAAAAAAAAAAAAAAAAAAAAAAAAAACCCACTTCAGCAACCGACACAACCAAAGCGCCGCTTCGAACTACACCTTCTCAACATCCTAAGCTTCGCAGTGCACGAGCAAAGCATTGCCTGAAACGGGCGACTGCACAATGTGGGTGCACACAGAAACCAGCTGGGGCAACTACATATCAAGGGAATCGCCCCCGAGCGACCAACCGCATTCGAGACGGCGAGGCTGTGGTTGTATTCACGAGAGTGGACACAGGGCAGAGGAGTGCCATAGCGTGGCTTCCACTCGAAATCAAATGCAAAAGAAAGTGCCAGGCTTATCTCGTTGCTCCGTTGGGGCCATGGAATGCAATCCTTGCTGGCCTCCTCGTTGGTTCATGGCTCCCACGTACGTCGGCACCTCTTTGACTTGGGGATTGCCACCCTCACCCCTCCCTTCTTCCCTCCTATCCATGCAAGCAAGCAAGCTTGCAGCTTGGGGCTTGAATTCCACGACCCACCGCGTTAAACCCACCTGTCTCACACTCACACACACCCCATTCAGAGAGACAAACACACACACAACCTTCGACCCTCCGAAACCTCTCTTCCCCTTCGATCCTCCCTCATCACACTCCCTTGGGTTCTGTGTTCCGGTTGTGTGTCTTAGACTTGGATGCTGTTTGTATCATGCTTCTGCAATATTCAACCTCACAACATAGCAAATTAAATGTTACTTTTATCACATTTGAATAGTGTGAGTGTTTTCTGTTCTTCTCTTTTTTTTGGGTGTAATGAAGAAAAGAGGATTGTTAGATGAGAGTATGCCGTTCGGAAAAAAAAAATTGAGGAGTTGATTAGTTTCAATTTTTAAATGATTTGATTGGTTGAAATTAAGAAGCTTCTTTGAGTTAGTTTTGAATGTGAAAAAAAACAAGTCAAAAAGCCAATTAGAAGGATAGATGAAGTAGAACATACTTCTTTTTCTACATTGCATGAGTAGTATTGTCTCCAAAAATTTCCATTGTGCCTATTTCATAGGTGCAGTTTTTAAGAAAATTCAAGAAGCCATATCAAAAAAATGCTAAAAACCACTATTAAAAAAAAAAAGAAATCAAGTATTTTATATTTTTCATGAGTATTTAAATCAAGATATAGGCTAACATGTTTATACTTGTAATAAAAAAAAAAAAAAAAAAAAATGCTTTTGTTTATTCCATGGCTTCTTCTCACCTCATCTTATATTCAAATACCAAAACTTCTAAGGAAAGACTTTTTTTTTACCAATCAAGGTCCTTGGGAAAGCTTTTGAACCATGTTCTACTGAAGAGGGCTTCCAGGTTTAAAATGCCCCTTCACATTTTGTTTTTCCTTTTTCTTTTCCTTATTACATTCTTATATGTACAAATAGTATTTGGTGTACATATTTGGTGTATACTTGTATTTTGTTAGTATTAGTACTCTTTTGGTTATTTTTGTACATTCTTATATATATTTTAATAAGACAATTTTAAGTCATTTATTTTTCTATCAAGTAATATTAAAGAGAAAAAATTATTGGTTTCTAAATTCTTTTAAATTGAAAACTTGGTAGTTTTACTGTTATCCTATGTTGTTTTATGTATGAATTCCAAAAGAACTAATAAAAGGTTTTGCATGGTATTTATACAATATTTAAATAAAAATTGTTGTGTATTTAAATTATCACAAGTACAATACTTGAATTACAAATTATCTTACACAAATACATCTTTTACATAAAATTTTGTTACAACCAAGACAAATTGACCAAGAAAATAACTTGTAACCTGCTATTGTGTGAGCCATTCAAATTATTAAATAAATTAATGGAAGCTCATCCTTTTCACTTCTGAGGATTTTGGAAAATCAACCTTCTGAGTCATATCTTGGCATTAGCTTTTTCTTCATTGTACACATCTAAACAAACATGCCACTCAAAGGATTCATATTACAAGTCTTAAGGACAAGAAAGACTTGAATTAATGTGATACAATGTCTGAGGATGTGATCAATGCCGAGGCAGTAAATATCATTGTTGATGAGTGTGTAAAGAGCACCTAATAAAAAGATGTAAAGTATGCTCTGATACCGCTCCAATTGGAGCATGTATAGTCTCTACTAGCATCTAGTTGTTGAAGATAAATTATATTTGCAACAATCAAAGAATCTAAAAATTCTAATAAAATTCTAATTAAACCTTAATTAAATCTTATGAATTATAATCTAACTTTAATTAAAGTTTAAAGAATCTTTAACAAATCCTAAAAAATACCATTAGATAATTCATAAAAAAATATCAAAGAAATAAAATAAAAAATCAAAAGAAATTCTTACAAAATCTTAAAGAATTCATAAAGGAATTATAAAAAAATCCTTACAAATAAATCCTTAAAAAATCATAAAGAAACCTTAGAGAAAGTTTTTAAAAAATCCAAAAGAAATTACAATGAAATTTTAAAGTTTTTTTTGAAAAACCTATAAAGATATTATAAAGAAATTCTAAATAATTTCTAAGTAAATCCTAAAAGTATCTTAATTACATCCTAAGAAAATCTAAAATAAATCCTAAAAAACTATAATTAAATCTTAATAAATCCGAGAGATATTCTACAAAATCTAACAAAATCTTAACCGAAATCTAATCAACTCCAATCAACCATAGGATAGTCTTAAAACCTTGATAATTATTGATTAAATCATTAATATTTCTTGAAATTTAACACACATTATAATCTAATAATAAAAAATAAGTACAAAAATTTAAAGAAGAATTTAATTTACAAATTGAGAGAAAAAAAATCCTTAATTGTTTGTATGTCAACCCTCTTCCTTCTCCAACCTTAATATTGATCTTTTAGCTACAATAATTCTTTATTTAGTTATTTACTTCTACTTAAAATTAAAAAAATATATTTAAAAATAGATTTGAAATTTGTTCAATGTTTTTGCTTCAATCCAACTAGCATTATTATTGAAAATTTATTACCACATATGGTCCAAAACAATGTTTAGAAAACTTTTTTAAAGTATTATGTTCAGTGTTTAAGCTATAATTATATACTAAAATTTAATTACTTTCTTAAATTGCCTTAAATCTAAATTGATGTTTTTTGTGAATATAAGCCTTATCTTGTAATCTTATCTTTTTCAACCTTTTTAGTATTATATACACATCTTCTGGTTTTTTCTCAAGTTGCTAAATCTTAATAGCTAAAAATTCTTCTCTTGTCAATTTAACTTTCTATAAAAGCACATTCTAAGTTAATAGTTTTTTTTCAATTAGCATAATATATTTTTGACTTGTTATAAGTTTAATAGGCATATATTTTATTATTGAACTATAAATTGTTCAATTAATCCTTCATGCAAATGGCAAAAGCTGAGACCATCTTTTTATCCTTCTATAACAAGCTTTAATTAATGCTTTTAAAATTGGTGGATGATTATGTTTAATTTTTTGGATTTCCTTCTAAATTATAAGTAATAATCAATGAGAATTTAATTCCATATTTTTTAAAGAAATTATTATTTTTTTTTGTATATTTTAAGTATCTATAGAATTGAAAGACTATGTTTGTTCTTGTATAGATAATGGCTATAGAATTTCATAAGGTCAATGACAAAGAATTTTTGATCATGAATAAACATCATATGATTGTTCAAAATCTTGAATTTTCTTTTACATTTGAAGCCACCAAAAATGTCTTGATATAAACTCTAAAGTATTGTATCCAAAATGATTTGTAGTTAAAAAATTGTAATAAACATATAATTGTGCTTCACTTTCTAGGACATATAAGCATCCTTAAAAATAGAATACATTGTTCTTCAATTCAAAATTAAAAATAACATGAATTTAAAAGGATAATTTTTAATATTATAAACAAGAAGATTTGAGGATATACTTAATTAAACTTAATTAACAAAGGTTGAATGAATAGTCTATTTTAATTTCATTATTCAAAGGTGAAATTACTATAACTTTAAAAGAATTATTTATTTTTGATCAAAATTTTCATTTCCTTCTTTTGATGAAAAATTAGAATGTTTAAAAATATCATTTAACAAATCTTGTTACTTTTTTGGTCAATAAGTTATCTTAAATTCAAATCTTGACAAAAATATGTTCCAATAATTTTGGCAATAATTTAGAATACAAGCTAAAATAGAATATATGAGGTACTTGTGATTTTTATAAACAATCACTAAACTAGAAATACCTTCTAGATAATAACACTATTATTAAAATAAATCTATAAATATAAAAAAACTTATTTTAGATTTTTTTATAATTGATCTTCATTGCTAAAATATTTATTAAATAAAAAGCTATAAGACGAAGTTTAACATTTACACTTATTTATAACAATATCACATCTAAAGCAAAGTCTATTATATTAGTTTCTATAAAAATTGCATCAAAAAAATTAATGCAACATAGGATTTAGATTGTAAGAAAAGTTACCTTTAAAGCTTCAAATGATGCTTTAGCTTCTTTATTCTACTTAAGTTTGTCTTAACAAGTCAAACATATAAGTAACATTGCAACTTGAAAAAAGTTTTTGATAAAAATCTAATTGTAATTGAAAAATCTTAAAAAATATTAGACATCTCTTACTATTTTTAAAACTTTCTAATATATGTTATTTTAAAATTTCTTAAGATCTATTACAAGGTTATTGATTGAAATGATGTATTCTAGAAGTCAACTTGAGTTGAATGAAAAACACACTTCTTAATCATGGCATATAGTCCTCTATTTTTTTATTTTTTTAACACACAATAAAATAAAGTTTATTCTCTTTTGAGTTTTTGAAGTAGATTCAAATGTCATTTAGATAACAAAAAAATCTAAAAATTCTCAAAAAAAATCATATATTAGATGTTTAAAAGAAGGTGGTGCATTTGTGAGTCTAAAAAGTATAACATTGTATTTAAAATTCTCATATCTGATTCAAAATGTAATCTTTTATTCATTTTTTATTTTTTATTTTTTCATATATACAAAATTATATATTCTTTGTAGATCTAATTTTGTATATATCTTTGCTTAATTTTATTAATCAAAAAGTCTTGATATTAAAAATAGAAGACACTTATTTTTTATGAAGATCTTGTTAAGTCCTTGATAATCCACACTTATACATAGTGATCCTTCTTTTTTCTTCACAAATAACATAAGAGCTCATATTAGAGATTTTTAATGGTATATAAAATTCTTGACAAAGTTTTCATTTGTATATTCTTTGAGTGTAGCCAACTTGTTTTGTAATAAGCTATTGATTGGTCCAAATGGTGATTGAGCTCTTTCTTGAAAATCAATTAAGTAATAATAAAAACAATGCTTTGAAAGAATATTTACAATCTTCTTTTCAAAAATATCTTGATAATCTTTATAATGGTTCAAAATGCCACTTGAAATCTTTCTACATGTGAGTCATCAAATCAACTCATAGGTTGTATTAGAATAAAAAAATGCAATTAAAGTATCAAAATTTCAATTGTTAGATGAAAATTAGTGAAGGGGATTTTAGATATAAACAAAATAGTGTTAGTAGAGAAAA